ATTCGCTGGATGAAAGTGAGTTATGGATTTGCACTTTTGCTAAGCAGAGGAAGTTAGCACGACCCTTGGGTCATGCTAACTTGTGGAGCCGTGCATGTAGGTGTCAACAAATTGCAGAATATTTTCGATGATATCTTGCGGTTTCGGTCTGAAACAGGCAGTGTTTTACTTCAAGAAGAAGAGTTAAGCTGGCCGTGTAATAAGTTTGTAAATACACCAGACATTTAGTGGTAACAAAGAATATAGGGTAAAGCTGTAATTCGACGGAGGAATTTGCTAGAGACACTACGTGGACTTGTGCGGATCAAAATAGGGAGGAATGCAAAAGCTGCCAGCTACTTTAGTGGAAGAAAGAAGTGCAAAAATTAAATAACAGCCAACTAAAATTTATGTGTCGAACAGAGATGTATGTTTAACGGTCTCTTTCAGATTTTCCTTACTCCGCTGAGTATCGAAGTAGTGCAGAGGCTTATCGAAAGGGCTGGAATGATGTTAACGGCGATTCATCCTGCTTCAGTTATTCAACACATTTACGCGTCTTGCGCACTCCGATGTCACAAACAACCAATCACTGCTGAAAGCAAGACTGTAAAACAAGGTTAGCGAAAACATAAACAACTGCAGATGCCATATATATCATACCATTGATTATCATTAGTGGGAGATTTCAGTTGCCCAAAATGAGCTTTTATCAGTGAAAGCTAAATGCAAGAAATTTTAGCTCACAAGTTTGTTAGCCGAGATGCAAAATGCGAATTTCTTTAGCGTTGCGCCGGTTAATTTCATCTCGTTTTTTTCTTCAAAAACCTTAGATTTGTTCGGGGCACTCTGAAAAAATTTTGGCTGAAATCCCGTATGATGCGCATTTACTTGAATAATTTTCCAGGAACTACGCTACCAGAAGTGAACGCACATATTGGTGTGCCCCCCGTCTATATCACATTGTTTCAATGCGCGGTTGTCGAGAATACCGTACCGAAGGGCACGAAAGATGACCTTTTCACAAGCGCTAACGTTGATTGCACTGTTAACACAATTGCTGGAAAAGAGTGCTCTTTTAATGTATTTGCTGCTCGGAATCCCAACGTGGGTTTCCTTTAAAAAATTCATAGTTTAGAGTGGTATGGTGT